GTTTTTACCGAGGCCCCCCCCCCCCCACACACACACCAACTTCCAATTCAGTACGTACGTACTACATGGGTGGACACCCCTCCCCCCACCCCCCCCCCACACACAAACCAACTCCCAATTCAGTGCGTACGTACTACATGGGTGGGCTCATAACAATTTGTCCTTTGCTAAAAATAAATAGCTATGAAAGAAAGCCTTACAAATTAACTTTTTAAAATTCATATTGACCATATTTAAAATAAGTCTGATAAAAACATACAATTTACAATCATTTCAAGTTTTGATGTGACAAAATTGTTGTGGAGGCTTTGTTTAACTGACACCATTAAACTCATTTTTGCTGATCTTTCAAGAAATAGTATTATAAAAATATACAAAATAAGTCATATCAAAAAACACCTTTAGACTTCTTATAAATCTAATTAACAGTTTTCATTTACCTAAAACTAAGTAATTTTTTTTTAAAAATTCATTATACTTATACTAAAGGGGAATATGAAATAGAAATAATTTTTAAAAAATATATTCAATTCATTTACTCCTATCTCCATTTATTACAGTAGACTATTTCTTCTGTGCAAAATGTTGATGCCTCCTTCATAATTTAAGTTCATGTCTCTTAAAATTACTTTAAAACTTTCTTTTCTCACTTTTAAAGTTTATTTTTTAAAAATAAAAAATAGGTCTAGTTTAAAAAAAAATAAATTTATAATACACCGGAAACAATCAATTGAAAGCTTGAAAAACTAACAAAAGATATAGTGTGCATAAAACTAAAACACTCTAATCCCCACCCCCTCCCAAACCCTGAACTTGTCTTGTATAGTGAGCATCTAAGTGAGTGCATTATTTCATCTTAGGACCACCTTATGCTCAAAGCCATAACTGTTCAATATGTGCTAATGTATGATATATAAATGTAAAAAAGCCAAAAGCTCCTCTCCTGTCCTTGATGGTAAACTAGCAGCACCCTCTGTTATATATTCCAACAGCATTTCCACAATGGGGACATCTGTGCTCCACATCTTTGGTACCACTTAAACAAAATGGAATCAGGCAACACCCCAAGACCATACTGAAACAAAATTACAAGTCCTACTGTATCAAACAATTGCAAGTCTTACAGTCACAAGCCTTTTACATGCATCTGCATATCAGTCACTGTGCATCACAAGTAATAAAATCACAATTGTGATTAGTTTTTTTAAATATGAGGAAGAGATACACGTAAATTTAATTAAACAATCCATGTATCTATTTATTAAGCATAAGATCGTCAAAGAATTACACACAAAAAATTACTCTCACCCAAAAAAACATAACAAACCACTGAGAGCAAAAGTGAGAACTCCAGAGT